TCTTCAGGCATACCATGCACGTGATGAAGGATTATTTCAAAAAGGCACATCATACCATTGAGCTTCCCTGTGCTCTTGCATGAAACTATGTTCGCAACCAATGCCTCCGCGTCCTACAGCAGTATGTCTCCGTGCCAGGCGTTGCATGGGCGTCAGCTGGCATGTCTTCCCGACTTGTTCACGCTGGACCGCGATGAACAGACTGAAGCGTCTGACCATTCACGAGAGCAGCGGATGCGCGAGATCAGCCTGGAGGCCATCCCGCATGCAACTGCAGTCGCCAGAACTAACAGGGCATTGCGTACTAATGCAACACCTCCAGGCCAGATACTCTATCGCGATGGTGATCTAATCGCTTACCACCGACCCACCACGATCAATGATGACTGGGGAGGCTGGAGCGGGCCTTACCCAGCTTCAGGGGATGACCCCGAAAAAGGTCCATGTCATATTGTCGGTCGGTATCCGCGAAGTCGCTGTTCAACACCCCGACCTTATACGCACCTTGTACATCGCGGTGTTGTTTGTCCGACAATTTGGTTCGGATAGCGCAGCACTGCGTGCGTCGCAAGTCTGCTTGAACGGAGACAAAACTTGCGATGTTTGTTGGATACTCCATTGCGCAAAGAGACTTGCGTATGACCGCTGCCCGCAAACAGTTGTCACCTACAGTGCGTCTGGCCCGTCAATGCTTGATCCGCGACTACTTTCGGATCGGGACTGTGGTCGCAGTTGGACTTGCCTAGTGGTGTCCATCGACTGCCAGCTATCATGTACGCTGACAGCTGCGCCTTGATGCACTGCGACAGCGATGTCACGCCAGGGTCTCACTACTGCGGGTCGAACGGCACGGCCCTTGACATCCACGCAATCACTGGGTCCGCGCGCGCGCGAATGGCCAAGTGCTTGAGGTCATCCATGCCCATGGCCGGGTTCGATGAGGACCTTTCGAAATTCGAGGTGGGTGCGGATGGCCTTTTCTCCGGCGGCGACCCCTGACCGGCGGAAGAGCCTGATCCAGAGTTGTTTCCGCCTACAGGGCGCCGCCTGCGATTCAGGAAGAGCCGGTGGCCGACCTCGAGGCTTATGTCTTCGAAGCTCGGTATATTGAGCTTTATAGCGAACGCGAGCATCTTGAGACTGCGCCGCTGGAGCCACCCCGACATGTGTGCGCGACGGCGACCTCAGACCACTCGGCTTTGATTGCCGTTACGAGCGACGACCTAAGCGCCCGATATCGCGGAGAGGCGCGCTGAAATAGCGCGGATGCGCATCGCGTCTCCGTTGTCCAGCATTGCGAGGATGGCTTTCCCGTCGACCGTGACCACCATGGCCAACGCATAGAATTATGCTTCGCAACTGACATGGCCAAAGTGGTGCTCGCAGAACAACAGCTCAGTCTACAACATAACGATAGTATTCTGGCAATGCGGGCATATGTTTTTGCAGCCGTTCAACGAGCGGTGGTAGTAAAGGAATGCGACCTGCTCGCCGTGGCAGCGATTCAGGCTCATCCGGTCCAGGTTGGCATGGCCCTCAACGCCGAGCCAAAGAGTTGGGTCGACAAGTGTGCTTTCAGGTGGCCTCTTTCGCAGGCGCCTGACATGCGCGACCTCGCGTCGCGCGCGTTATATTATATCAGTGGGAATTCGTAGAAGATGACAGAGGAGAAATGCGGTTCATGTAGTAAGGCTACTCTTACCATTGATACCGAATCTGCGTTTAATTCGCTATCCAGCAAAGACTTCGGACACATCCAATTGAACTTGCACTTTTGGGTCACACTAGCTGGGTTTAACAGGTGATGGACAGGCGCATCATACACACGCAGCATGACTTGACATGACTGCCGACGGACACGCCGAAGGTAGTAGAGAACGCGACTTCCTGTTACAGGTAGGGTGCGCAATGTTTCAACCATGAATTACTTGCACTCCCTTTAGGGCGCCGATCTCGAAGGTTGAGCTCGGCTCTTGATGGGCCGGCGGAGTCTATCCGCGCTGCGTGGAGACACGGTATAAAGCAATATTGCGTTTTACTCCGCATGTAATATTATGTTTTATTATGTTTATGCCACTTCTCGTTTTTTTTTCTCGGGCCTGTTTCCAAGACTCCGAGGGCCCGTCGCTGGCGCGTGGCCAGGTCGGGGCCCGCCAAGATTTTGCGGTTTCAGCGTGGCGTTGGCCTCTCCCGCAGCTCAATGCGGCCTGATGTTCGTTGCTGCTTGCTTCTTCCCCCCCATTCTGAAACAGGCTCAGCGGGCTGGGATATGCGTAAATGGGGGCGCAGCGAGCGTCCTGCAGGCGTCTGGCTCAGGGCGCCAGCGTCCTATTTGCTTGGGTTGCCTGTGGATTCGGCAGCTCATTATTGCATCTATAGCGGGACCTGATCACTCCCCTGGAAGACGCCCCGTCTTACATTTTACATCCAACCTACCATCCCATGATCCCCACCCTGCTTCTTATTCACCTGCAGTTGCGGATCGCTTGCAACTTAAGCCGCGCAAGTGGACCAGGGTGTTTTCCACGTGGCCGCGCGTCCGCGCCGCGGACGGCGGCGGCTTCGCAGCCTGGGATCAAGGCGGGCCGCTGCTAGATGCACGGCTTTAACCCTGGGTTGGTTCAGAGTAGCACCCTGGCGCTGCCTCTCGGCCACGATGTGGGCTGTCCCGCAGAAGCGTTGGCGGATGGCTTGAGCGTGTTTCTTTCATGCTTGGGCCATAATGCGCGTTATGCCCCCCCTCCCCGCCCCCCCTATAACGTCACGCTCTGGCCCCCAGCGCGCCCCAGGCACTGCTGCCGTGCGCATAGGGATCCGAATCGGAACCCGACTAGGGATCCGCATGGGCATCCGCACAGACATCCGCATAGGGATCCGCATGGGGATCGCATAGAGGTAGCCATCGGGATCCGCATTGGATCCGAATTTGGATTTCCAGGGATCGTTCTAGAGATCAGCGCAGGGATTTGCATCGAGATCCGCATAGCGATCCGCGTGGGGATCCGCAGGAGGATCCCCAGAGGCATCCGCATAGGGATCCGCATGGCGATTCGCATCGGCATCCGCATTGTAGTCCGCATACGGATCCGCATGGGCATCGGCATATGGATCCGCATAGGGATGCGCATAGGGATCCCCAGAGGGGTCCCATAAGGATCCGCATAGAGATCCGCATAGGGGCGGTGGTCGCGGGTAAGTTGTGGTGCTCTCAGGCACTTGTGGTGTTCGTGGGAGGACGAGCAATCGAAAAAAAACGACGGCGACGACGACGACGAGGATGGAGGAGGGAGGTAAAGAGCATACGTCTTATACGCCACGTGGAGGCAACGACGCCTTCGCAGGCATGTGCTCGCCACGACTCCTCGTCGCTGTTCGTTGTCATCATCGACGTCGTCGTCGTCGTCCCTCGTCGTCGTCGTCGTCGTCGTCGTTCGTCGTCGTGGGTCGTCGTCGCCGTCGTTGTCGTCGTCGTCGCTCTCGTCGTCGTCGTCGTCGTCGTCGTCGCTCGTAGTCGTCGTCGTCGTCGGTCGCTGTCGTCGTCGTCGCCGTCGTCGTCGCCGTCGTCGTCGCCGTCATCGTCGTCGTCGTCGTCGTCGTCGCTCGCGGTCGCTCGTCGTCGTCGCTCGCGGTCGCTCGTCGTCGTCGCTCGCGGTCGTTCGTCGTTGTCAAACACCTTCGAATGCTGTCGCGGGCCTCTGGAGGCTTCGGATGACTTGCGGAAGGCCTCTGGAGGCTTCCAAAGGGCCTGCGGAGGCCTCGCGAAACCTCCAGAGGCGTCGCTCGTCGCTCGTCGTCGTCGTCGTCGTCGTCGTCGTCGTCGTTGTCGTTGTCGTCGCTGTCGTGGTCGCTCGTCTTCGTCGTTGTCGTCGTCGCTATCGCCGTCGTCGTCGTCGTCGTCGTCGTCGTCGTCGTCGTTGTCGTCGTCATCGTCATCGTCCTCGTCGTCGTCGTCGTCGAGGTCGCTCGTCGTCGTCGTCGTCGTCGTCGTCGTCCTCGTCGTCGTCGTCGCTGCTTGTCGCTTGTCGCTTGTCGCTCTTCGTCGTCGTGCGCGCGGACGCTGTGGTGGCGCCCGAACCGCACGGCGGGGGGCGGCGTTACGTGATGCCTCCCCCCCGCCCCCCCATAACGCCCGTTATGGCCGCGAATAAAGAAACGTGCTCCTTCAGGCGTGATCCATCATCACGCCACCGCCCCTCGCATACGAACCGAACTGTTCCGCAGACGTTTTCAGCCTCGAGGACCCCCCTGCCCGCAAAATGGCACCGTCGTGCGGGTCTGCTACCAGGGGCTGAGCACCTGCACTGGTCACCGAATGTCTACGATCCCCCAAAATTGCACAGGGTTTTGCGAGCGTGGGTTGCGTCGAATGCTACCCTTGCCGCATCGGCCGCCCTTGGACCAGATGGCAGGGGCCTCCATCCCCAGCGGCGCGGCTGATGGCTACTGTATGTCGTGTTTCATCGCGGCTTCGCCTTCGCTTACGATCCGTACCGCTCTTCAGAGATCTGCAGAGGGGGGCTATTGGAGATGGGGGGGGTGAGACCGAAGCGCAGCGCAGTCCCCCAACCGGGAAGTCGGCATCGGTTTGTGTCGTGCGTTATGTGCGTGCGGGCGAGGTGCTGTTGTGCGAGTTCCTGCCTTAGGGAGGCCCGGGTGAGGACATTTTGTTTCCACTCCCCGCGGCGACCGGGCGTGCCCGGTTGCCTCCCAGGGAATCTATGTTGGTTTTCGTCCCGATGTTTCAGAGTCTGTCTATGCATCACAGTTTTGTCCTGAGCTGCAGGTACGAGGTTGGATGGAGGTGAACCAGGAGCAGGTGGAAGAGAAGGAGGAGGAGGAGGAGGAGGAGGAGGAGGAGGAGGAGGAGGAGAAGGAGGAGGAGGAGGAGGAGGAGGAGGAGGAGGGAGTGGAGGAGGGAGAGGGGGGAGTGCGAGGAGGACGGTGATGGAACTGGGTGGGCGACTTGGAGGCAGAGGTGCGGGTCGCGCGCGCGCGCTGAGCTGCTCAACAGCGGGCTGCTGAGCGGCTACAGTTACCCAATCACGCGCTTCGAGTTTGTGAAGGGCGCCCCCGCATCCTCGCCCTGGGATCGTGAGGGCAAGGGGGAAGAGGCAAAGAGAGGGAGGAGGAGTGGGAAGGGGATGGCAGGGTGCTGGCGCGGCTGCTGGCGGGGCACTTGAGAACGCAGGGGAAGGGAGACGACGTGGTGCGCGTCTCCATCGTCGTGTCGCTGGTCGAGCTCAGTGTTGGTGATTCGTTGCTCTGACCTCGTCGGTTTTCTCACGAGGCAAGGGGGATTTTCTCGGATGTGTCCGCAGGTCTGGGGACACGAGTGCGCCTCCAGTGCCTCAGCCACCCAGAGGGGGTGGGTCTCGGTGAGTGTGGGAGCACCGCCTCGCGGCGTGAAGCGGGGGATAGCGGGTAGCCGTGACGTTGAGGCGATTCGCGCGGAGCGCTTGGCGTTAAGTCGGGCACGTCCTTCTACAGGAGGAATATTCAAGAATAGTAGAAAATAGTCTGGGGACGAGATGTCTACAATTTTTTCAATTTTTGAACATGTTTGAAGAATTTTAGCTGTTCTTCAAGAATCCGCCTGTAGGGGGACATGCCCGACCTAAGCCTGGCGATGCTCCACCTCTCAGTCGCATTCCCTGGCCGGAGAAGAAGGAGGATGAGAAGGAGGAGGAGGAGGAGGAGGAGGAGGAGGAGGACGACGTGGAGGCGGAGCAGGGAGAGTCAATAGCCCTGTCGGGCTCAAGGAATCTTGCTCTCTTGCCCCACTGTCGCGAGACACCCTCGCACGGCTTTGGCGCTCATCTGCCATGGCACGATCAGGCAGTAATTGTGTGCGCCACTGCCGTGCGATCGCCTATGTTGGGCCCCATCGATGATGCCGCAAAGTTGTTGCAGCTCTTGCATGCGCCCGGCGCAGCAGCCCATGGACTGGCAGTTGCGCGAGGGTCGCTGATGGAGCAGCTCTTTTAGTAGGCCTACAACATTTCGAAGGTCCGTGCGAATTTCCTGAGTCGGCGCTAGGCCCCCCTGGCGGCGCCTTCAGCGCCGCCCCTGGCGCACTGCACTCGCAAGGCCAGGGGGCGGCGCCGATCCAAGAAATTCGCGCGGACCTCCGAACTCTACTGTTATGCAGCTGGTGGTGTCTCAAGCTGCTGTTGCGGGTGTTCCCTGCTGCAGCCAAGGCACAGTAGTCTTGTTGACGCTTCGCGCACGGTCGGACGGAGGTACAAGATCGAGGTCGGTTTGGGGAGTGTTTTCTAATGTTCTTCGTGTTTGCTTGATGTGCTTGTGCCTCCCGGGGAGGGTACCTTTGGATGTGCTTTGTGTTTTGGCCGGTGGAGGGGCTTATGGTCTTGAAGGATGTTCTTCTTTCCAAGGTCTGGCCGTATCCCCACCAGCCCATTTAAAATCGTTATCCATGAGAGCTGACGGGAATTGTGAGGAAGAGACGCATGTAGTGAAACAACGCTGGCAACCATGGTGAATTGAGGATGTGGATGGGGAGGGGGGGAGGAGGATGAGGAGGATATGGACGTCGACGAACATACGAGGATAAGGAGGATAAATATCATCCCAGTGCGACCCTACCTAGGAGTTGGAGCCCCTAGGAAAGCAGCATTAGTAGTAACAGTAAAGCTAAGCTAAAGCTAAGCTAAAGCTAAGCTAAAGCTAAGCTAAAACTAAGCTAACGTTAAGCTAAAGTTAAGCTAAATCTAAGCTAAAGCTAAGCTACAGCTAAGCTAAAGCTAAAGCTAAAGCTAACGCTACAGCTACGATAAAGCTAAGCTACAGCTAAGCTAAAGCTAAACTAAAGCTAAGCTAACGCAAAGCTAAAGCTAAGCTAACGCTAAGCTACATCTAAACTAACTCTAATAAAGCTCCCAGGGGACTGGGGGAACCGCTCCCTGGGGATGCTGGGGGAACCGCCCGGGGCGTGGACCACTGCCCGGCCTTTTAAGCACACCGAGTAAGAACCCTTCTAGGCAGAGCCTAGGTAGGGAATCAAAGAGGAAGAGGAAAACAAGGATAAGGAGGACGACGAGGGCAAGGACGAGGAGGAAGGGGGCGAACACGAGGACGACGGGAAGGACGAGGAAAAGGCGAGGACGAGAAGGATGAGGAGGAGGATAACGAGGAGAAGAGAGGATGAGGACGAGGACGAGGACGAGGAGGACGAGGACGAGGAGGACGAGGACGAGGACTCTGGCAGCCATCTTAGGGCCTTCTTGACGACCTCTTGGGGCTCTCTCAGGGCCCTGTTGAGGCTTTGGGCCCTCTTGGAGCCCTCTTGGAGGCCTCTTGGGAGCCTTGGAGGGCCACTTGGAGCCATCTCGGAGGTCATCGATCAAAGGGGAGGAGATCCTTTATCTGGGACGCCCCCTCAAGAGCCCTCGGCACTCCCTCTTTGGGCGCTCTTGGGGCGCTCTTCAACGCTCTTGGAGCCGCCTGGGGGGCCTCGTGGGCTCTTTTGGGGGCTCTCTCGGGCCATCTTGGGGCCGTTCCGAGGCCTCAAACGCGCATAGCAAGCGAACAGGAGAGACGCCACAAATCATGGAGTTTCTATAGGTTTGAAGGATCTGGGCCCTTTGCGGGTCCTGAGGGGGCTGCGAGAGCACGTGGAACCATCTTGGAGTGGTATTTGGGGCCTCTTGGAGCATGTTGGAATTTATCCTGACCCATTTCGGCTATCTTGAGCCATCGTGGAGAGCATCGGACGCCCTCTTGAAGCCATCTTGGGGCAGCCTGTCCGCTCGCAGGACCCCCAAACAAATCTTAGAGACGGGAAGGGGGAAGAGGGTTTCGGAAGAGGAGCTAGTCATCTCGTTCGACAAACTACGCCAAGTGGGCTGGTGGGAGTTCTTTTTGCCCGGGATGGTATGCGTTGGTCTCATGGGCGTTTCCAGCGCCCGCAACTCACGACACATGTCCAGAGGTCACCGGTTTCTGTCTCCCTTCCAGCAACGGTGTTGGGTGCGCAGCTCCAAGACCCTCCCCCTTCATAGGTCTTCGACGGCGGGCTCGCGCTGCGGACGAAGGCGCATCGACCTCGCCTGGGCGGCTTCGGGTGCGCGTGGGTGCGCTCACGGCGTCGGACCAGTCAGGCGCTGTCCTGGCCTTTCCAGGCCTGGGCTTTCCTGTCTAGGCCTCAGCCCATCTCGCTCTCATGCCGCGCTCCCGAGCTCCCCCCCGCGAATCTCCCCCTTCCCGCCTGCACCGCCCCCTCGGCTGCGCCCCCTATCGCCGCAGGTGAGATGGTCTGCGAGCTGCAGAACCCGTGGCCCGCTGGCGAGTGGACAGGGCGCCGCCGCCCGCCACCCCTCGCACGGCGATTGTTTTTTGTTGCCGTTTGTCGTCTTGGTCCGACCATTTCGCTCCCAGAGGCTTACGCTGTATTGCCAACGCCCCAAAGCTGTGCTCGAGACCTGGGTTTCTCGGATGCCCTGGAGGAGGAGGAGGAGGAGGAGGAGGAGGAGGAGGAGCATGAGGACGGCGAGGAGTTGTGGTAGGACGACGAAGAGATTTTTTCGGGGAAGTGCTTGGATGAGAAGTGAGCAAGGTCTGCGGGCAAGACTTGTGTCCAGATCCACTGCAGCTTGGAGTTTCGGGCTCCCTTTCCCAGAACCCCGAGGCGCACTTGATATGGATCAGAATATGGCCCCTACAGAGGCTCGATGTTCGTTCATATTCAGTGCGCCTCAGCCTTGCGGTACCCCTTTCAAGAAAGTCCAGTACGCACTGGACTGGATATGTATATATATATGTAAATATATATATATATATATATACATATAAATATTGCCCGCAACGTCCGGGGCATGGAACCCGTGGGGCCTCGACTTGACAGAGGTGTTCCTCCATGCTGGCGTTATCACAGATGTAGGCACGACCTCTCACATCGCCTCATTTAGAGGCTGCCGCCCATGCCGCCGACCCCAGAGATCGCCGGCGGTCCAGGTCGCATGGTGTTTTGGAGCGTCGAGGCGACGATCCAGCGGGCAGGGTTCATCGCAGCCGACGCGCGGCTCTCCCTCCAGGCACGGGCCGTTGCGCCCGGGGGCTTGCTGGCCGCAACGGGCGTCACAGTGAAGTGCAGGCGCATCATAATGGCCGAACACTCCAGAATTACCCCTCCTTGCTATGTTCTTTTACGGACAGTTGCGCCTTCGGGCTTGTTGATCGCAGCAGCCGTCACTGTACAATCAAGACGGCCGATGACTGCATACCTACTTCCAATGTGTGATGCTTTTTTAACGGACTTTTGCGGCCTGCGGCTTGCTGCTCGCAACAGCCGTCACAGTAAAAGTCATACGCATCAAGACAGCCGAAGACAGCATAATGATTTCTACCATGCGATGCTTTTTTACGGACAGTTGCGCCCTGGGGCTTGCGCCCTGGGGCGTGCTGCCCGCAACAGCCGTCACGGTAAAGTTCAGACGCATCAAGATGACCGAAGTCTCCAGAATGGTTTTCTCCTTGCCATGGTTGTTGTGGGTAGTTGCGCCTTCGGGCTTGCTGCTCGCAGCAGCCGTCGCAGTACATATCAGATGCATCAAGACGACCGACGACTCCAACATTACCCCTCAGTGCTCTGCGCGCAGCAGCTGTCGCCGTAAAATTCAGATGCGGCATGACGGCCGAAGACTCCATAATGACTTCACCTTGCGATGCTGTTGCGGGCAGTGGCGCCCTCGGGCTTGAGCGATCTCGGAGGCTCGATGATTCATTTCTTCACAGCCTCAGTAGCTTCACAAACCTATCCAGAAACAATCGCTAAGTGCTGAGCTGTACACAGACGTTGTGGTGCATACGTGCTTTGCAGTTTACACAGGCGTTACGGTGCGTACGGTTGTTGTGGTGTATGCAGGCTTTGTAGTTCACGCAGGGAGCGCGGTGTACACAGACACTGTGTTGCACGCGGCTGCAGTAGTGCAAGCCAGTTTTGCTGTGCACTTTCGTTTTTCTTCATCACGTGTTCATGGTATCGTCGCTCCTTCTGCGGTCCGCCGCCATCTTGTTTGCATCCCGTAATGGCAGTTTTTACCGGCGTCGGTTTTAGTTGTGTTCGCGGTCATTGTTTTTTTTGATCGCAGCCGCCTTACTTGTTGTGCTGATATTTTGCCGTTCAGTGTTTTCTCGCGTGGCCTCTCCTACGTCACAGCGATTGTGGTTGTGATGATGGTTTGGTTACCCGTGGCCTCGACGCTTGCTATCTCCGCAGCCTCGGTGCGCCCGCCTTCCCGTCCAGAAAGATCGCCAGGAAGTCTCGAGTGGGAACCTCTCTCGGTGGGGCCCACCTCTATGTTCGAATCCGAGACGGCCATCATAATGCCATGCGAAAGCGCAGGTTTGAGGATACTTGGTAACCTGAGCCTCAAGGCCGTCTAGAGCGGGAGCCTGCTTCCTGAGCAATAACTGATGCCTCTCGCGGGATCCCTGTCTGTGAGTGAATCGCGAGGAAGTCTCGGGCAGGAGCCCCCTCCCTGTGGGGTCTCCGCCTCATGTTGGTGATCCGAGGCGGCCATCGGGACACTGGGAGCCTGAATTCCGAGGAAGTCTCGAGCTGGAGCCTCGTCCCTGAACAAACTCAGGGAACGTCTCGGGCGCTTGCCTGTAAGTGATCCGCGAGGAAGGCTCGAGGGGGAACTCCTTCCTGTGGGCCCCCGGCTTCGCGCTATTAATCCGACGCGGCCATCGAGCCTTTGTAATCCGAGGCGGCCCTCTTCAATCAAATTTGCAAACGTCGTTGTGGAACATCCGCTGCCAGGCAAGAGGGGAGCCTCTGGAGTCACACGGGCGACGAGGGGGGATGGTAGTCTGAAGATTCCCACGTGGGTCTTTACCGTCGGAGCAGCTGAAGGAGAAACTGCGTGGGCGCGCAACAGGATGACCCCGCCGTCGTTTGGGCAATCCGGATGCAGTGGGCCGCCCCTCGGCTTCCGGTTGGCGTCCCGTCGGCGTTCCGTCGGCGGTGGGCGGGCAGTGGCCGGTGTGTCCCGCTTTGGTGCCGATAGTGAAGTCGATCGTGAAATCGATAATGAAATGGTTAGGTGGCCTAGATGGTGGAATCCAAATTGGGCTCGACAGTGAGATTGACTGTGACATTGGTTGTGCTGGCGCTGTCGGATGCGCGGGGGGGCGCCGTCCCCGAGGTCGTGCAAAGCCCGCGGGAACGGGCGATCTCCCTCAGGGCGAGCACAACGGGATCGATCAGTGAATCCGTTGGTATTAGGGCTGGCAGTGAGGTAGATAGTGGGATCGAAAGCGGGGGCGGTCGTGACATTGCGCCGCAGCGCAACATCGGCATCGCGCGCCGTCGCCAAGTCGAGGGCGCCTCACCAGCATCGCCATCATCACACCCGTCGCGCTTGTCAGCAGTTGGTTCTTGCCCCACCCCCGCCCCGCCCCCTGGTCGCCCGAAGCGTGGTCTCATAGGTAGGACGGCGTCTCCAATCGTGCAGCGGAGTCGGCAGGATGGCATCCGCGCGCGCAGTCTGTGCCTGGAGGGCAAGAAGAGCGCGGGCACGCCATGGCCGCGCGCGGAATGCGGTCTGTGGAAAAAAAGGCACGGGGGGGGGCTTCATGCGTCCCAACATCGCCCGACAATGGTGACGACGCGGCTTTGCGTGAACTGCCCCGAGTGGCGCGCTGGTTTCGCGTGCGATGCGCGGAAGTACGAAGACGGTAGTACTGCGGAGCAACGGCGGCGCGCAGGGGGTGCGCGCGGCAGAGGGCGTTCGTCGTTGAGTCGAAGACGCGACGAGACACCTGACGCGCACTCGGCGCGGCGCGGGACAGATGGCGAGGTCTTTCCGGAGAACGGATTGGAGCAGCGAAGAGCGGAAGCGCGCGGGGCGCAGGCAATCAGCGCGAGACCAGGGACAGCAGCGCGACGAAGGAGCGACGCGGAAGTTGTGTTCCGCATGTGGAGCATCGAAGAAGAAGGACGCATGTTCCGAGCACCTGTGGTTCAAGGTGTCAGAATGTGCGCGGCAGTGCTGGTTGCGCCTAGGTGCGGAGGTCGGGCGTGGGATCGCCGCGGCGCGGGCGCGCGCGAAAAAGTGCGCGACGTGCGGAGGGTCGAAACAGGATTGCAGGTTCTCGACTTTCACGCGGTGCATGTCGTCGGGGCCAGCGCGGAAGCGCGGTGCGCGCGTCGCTGCGGGCGTTGAAAGTGCGGGCAGAATAGTGGGGAAAGGAGTGGCGGTCTGCGTCGCGTGCGAGGCAGCGCAGGGGCGGAGCGAGACTTCGGCGCGCGCGAGGTCCGACGCGGCCAACCGGCAACGCGAGCGCGCCGAGTGCGCGGGGAGAGAGGGCGCCGCCAGACGCAGTGGGGGCCAGGGGGGTTCTCGAGTATGGGGGAGAAGAGCGCGCCAGAGGTGCCGCAGAGAGTAGACGTGCCAGAGACATAGTGTATGGGCGAGGCAGATCCGTGCGCGATTCTGGGGTCGGTGGATCACTGGCGCTTGGAGTTTGCAAGAGTTGGGTTGAGCCGTGACCTCGACGCGCGCGTGGAAGCAATCTCCGCGTCACCGTCGTGACCTTTCTTGGCGCTCTTCGGAGCAGCTGCACTCCTTTTGGGGGGCGCTCGGGCACCGGGCCCACCTTGGGCCCGTCCTCTTTTTTCTTGTTGGCCTCCCCGGCGCTCCCGTGCTATGTGTTCGTTTTTTGAGTTGAGCGTTTCTGCCGTCGATCCCGCCCTCTCCTCCCGCCTCCCCAATCCCTTCCTGCCTCCTACCTCCTGCCTGCGTTCTCATTTCCTCGCCCCCATCGTGGCCGCCAGCTGAGCCGCCGCCGCCTCTTCTGCGGGCTCCTGCGAGGTCTAGCGGAGTGCGGAGCTACGCGGGCCCGCGTGAGACCTCGCCAGCCTTGGGGGATGACCGCCGCGCAAGGGCCGCCCCTTTCGTGACTTTTTTGGAGGCCCAGCGGGGTGCAGAGCTACGCGGGCCCCCCCCGCTCCCCGGGGGCTGACTGCTCCTCAGCAGTCGCCCATGTCGTGGACTCATGGGAGCCCCTGCGGAGTTGCGTTCAATGCGAATTCGAATGGGGCCTCGCCCCCCACGGCGCCGGCACGCGCGCAAGCATCGGAACGTCTATGAGTTCCTGGGAGGTCCAGGGGCGGCGCGCCCCAGGCCGGCGCATTAAATGGCGTTGCCAGACCTCTCTGGTGGGTTGCGCACATCCATGGGCATGCTGCCCGGCTCGCTCTCGGGGCCCTTCGGGGCTGCTTCTTCTTTCGGGGCTGCATCTTCGAGTCCTGTCGGGGCCTTCTCGGGGCGCTCTCGAGGCCGCGTGGGGCCC